TAGATTTTTTTATATCAATAAATAGCATTTTTTATATACAAAATTGAATTATCGATATCATATATTCAACTGTTTTTATATTAAACACTGAATTATTTATATCAATAATTAGAATTATTGATATAAAAAATAGGATGATATCAAACATTCAAAATTATTGATAGATCATTCAATTTCTTATATAAAATAGCAGAATTCTGGATATATTCGCATATATTTATCATCATCACTGAAAACAAATCAGCTTTGACTGACCACTTTTTCACTGAAATGATATAACTTGCAGGCGGCAGAAGCCACTAACGTGCTGCGCTAGTTTATGCTAACTTGCTAGCTAGCAGCTTCACTACCAGTAAATGCTCGCCAGCTAGCTAGTTAGCATAAGCTGCTAGGAGTGCTAGCTACCAACCTTACTACCAGATCGTCTGAGGTAAAATACATTAAAAACATAACGTAACTTAATTGCAGTTGTAAATGTTTCCACTAGTAGCTTTAGAGTTAATGTTACTTTATAGCCTCTTAGGTCTTTTACACAGCATTTTCTGTCATATAGCTAGCTCTATTTTTAAGAGAGAGCTTTTCAATTGGCATCTCTCCCCCTGTTTTCAGTCACAGGTGGGGACTGGATTAGGTGTGAGCAGTGCAGGAGGTGGGCTCATGAGTTGGGATCCAATTTTACTGGGGATAGCTTTATTTGCAACTTATGTACAAATTAGAATTGTGCAATAGCAGAGCATAAGAGTGTTACCCCATGGGGGGGAGGGGGGGCAGTTACCCCGGTACTTTTAAAAAACACACCTTTTCTAATTTCATGAAATAACTAAAAAAGTGTCAACTGTAGCCCTTTATTTCCCTTTATAGTTTATTCGCCTAAGCATGACCTTCATCCACATACCATCAAAAAAAATTCTCTCGAAACGTTGCTTTTTTTGTGTCAGCAATTAGACATTGTTCTTAGGGTGGGGCTAGTTACCCCCTAGTACCCTATAGCCAGTGGTGGAAAAAGTACTCAGTTTTCATACAGTGGGGGAAAAAAGTATTTAGTCAGCCACCAATTGTGCAAGTTCTCCCACTTAAAAAGATGAGAGAGGCCTGTAATTTTCATCATAGGTACACGTCAACTATGACAGACAAAATGAGAAAAAATAATCCAGAAAATCACATTGTAGAATTTTTTATGAATTTATTTGCAAATTATGGTGGAAAATAAGTATTTGGTCAATAACAAAAGTTTCTCAATACTTTGTTATATACCCTTTGTTGGCAATGACACAGGTCAAACGTTTTCTGTAAGTCTTCACAAGGTTTTCACACACTGTTGCTGTTATTTTGGCCCATTCCTCCATGCAGATCTCCTCTAGAGCAGTGATGTTTTGGGGCTGTCGCTGGGCAACACGGACTTTCAACACCCTCCAAAGATTTTCTATGGGGTTGAGATCTGGAGACTGGCTGGGCCACTCCAGGACCTTGAAATGCTTCTTACGAAGCCACTCCTTCGTTGCCCGGGCGGTGTGTTTGGGATCATTGTCATGCTGAAAGACCCAGCCACGTTTCATCTTCAATGCCCTTGCTGATGGAAGGAGGTTTTCACTCAAAATCTCACGATACATGGCCCCATTCATTCTTTCCTTTACACGGATCAGTCGTCCTGGTCCCTTTGCAGAAAAACAGCCCCAAAGCATGATGTTTCCACCCCCATGCTTCACAGTAGGTATGGTGTTCTTTGGATGCAACTCAGCATTCTTTGTCCTCCAAACACGACGAGTTGAGTTTTTACCAAAAAGTTATATTTTGGTTTTATCTGACCATATGACATTCTCCCAATCCTCTTCTGGATCATCCAAATGCACTCTAGCAAACTTCAGACGGGCATGGACATGTACTGGCTTAAGCAGGGGGACACGTCTGGCACTGCAGGATTTGAGTCCCTGGCGGCGTAGTGTGTTACTGATGGTAGTCTTTGTTACTTTGGTCCCAGCTCTGCAGGTCATTCACTAGGTCCCCCCGTGTGGTTCTGGGATTTTTGCTCACCGTTCTTGTGATCATTTTGACCCCACGGGGTGAGATCTTGCGTGGAGCCCCAGATCGAGGGAGATTATCAGTGGTCTTGTATGTCTTCCATTTCCTAATAATTGCTCCCACAGTTGATTTCTTCAAACCAAGTTACTTACCTATTGCAGATTCAGTCTTCCCAGCCTGGTGCAGGTCTACAATTTTGTTTCTGGTGTCCTTTGACAGCTCTTTGGTCTTGGCCATAGTGGAGTTTGGAGTGTGACTGTTTGAGGTTGTGGACAGGTGTCTTTTATACTGATAAGTTCAAACAGGTGCCATTAATACAGGTAACGAGTGGAGGACAGAGGAGCCTCTTAAAGAAGAAGTTACAGGTCTGTGAGAGCCAGAAATTTTGCTTGTTTGTAGGTGACCAAATACTTATTTTCCACCATAATTTGCAAATAAATTCATTAAATATCCTACAATGTGATTTTCTGGAGAAAAAAAATCTCATTTTGTCTGTCATAGTTGACGTGTACCTATGATGAAAATTACAGGCCTCTCATCTTTTTAAGTGGGAGAACTTGCACAATTGTTGGCTGACTAAATACTTTTTTCCCCCACTGTACTTGAGTAAAAGTAAAGATACCTTAATAGAAAATGACTCAAGTAAAAGTGAAAGTCAGCCAGTAAAATTCTACTTGAGTAAAAGTCTAAAAGTATCTGGTTTTAAATATACTTAAGTACAGTGGTGGGAAAAGTACTCAATTGTCATACTTGAGTAAAAGTACAAAGTAAAAGTAAATACTACACATAGAATTCCTTATATTAAGCAAACCAGACAGCACGATAATTAAAAAATATATAAATAACAGTCAGCCAGGGGCACGCTCCAACACTCAGACATCATTTACAAACACAGTATTTGTGTTTAGTGAATCCGCCAGATCAGAGGCAGTAGGGATGACAACGTGTTATATTGATAGGTGTGTGAATTGGACCATATTGCTGTCCTGCCTGAGCATTTGAAAAGTAACAAGTACTTTTTGGTATCTGAGAAAATGTATGGAGTAAAAAGTACATTATTTTCTTTAGGAATGTAGTGGAGTAAAAGTTGTCAAAAATTTAAGTACAGATACTCCAAAAAACGACTTAAGTAGTACTTCAAAGTATTTTTCCTTAAGTACTTTACACCACTGCCTATAGCCTACCACCATTGCGTGTTCGCTCTTCTTTCAAACTACCCGTGAGTTCTATTGGCTGCTGTATTTAACATTAATCAAAAAAGAGCTTGCGCCCCTCTTCAAATTGTCTATTGGTATAAGAAATGCAACAAACAAAAAAATGTCCTGCAAGCTATTCTAGTCTAGCTTTTCCTGCATGGGCCTCGAAGAGCTAAGGAGCATTTTTTAAGGAGAGGCCAGTGGAGCACAGGTGCTTGCGTATTGTGCAAGAGACAGAAGCTATAAGTTAGAAGCGTATTATGCATAACCCATAATTATTTAGCTAAATATAAGGCTAATACTGCATTGAATGTATTACCTGAAAGAGCTAGGCTAGACATCTATATACAGGCCACTCTAAAATGTGCAGTTTGATACTGCCACCACCATGCTTAGCTGTGGGGATGTTTTTCCATCGGCAGGGACTAGGAAACTGGTCAGAATTGAAGGAATGATGGATGGCGCTAAATACAGGGAAATTCTTGAGGGAAACCTGTTTCAGTCTTCCAGAGATTTGAGACTGGGACGGAGGTTCACCTACCAGCAGGACAATGACCCTAAGCATACTACTAAAGCAACACTCGAGTGGTTTAAGGGGAAACATTTAAATGTCTTGGAATGGCCTAGTCAAAGCCCAGACCTCAATCCAATTGAGAATCTGTGTTATGACTTAAAGATTGCTGTACACCAGCGGAACCCATCCAACTTGAAGGAGCTGGAGAAGTTTTGCTTTGAAGAATGGGCAAAAATCCCAGTGGCTAGATGTGCCAAGCTTATAGAGACATACCTCAAGAGACTTGCAGCTGTAATTGCTGCAAAAGGTGGCTCTACAAAGTATTGACTTTGGGGGGGTGAAGTTATGCACGCTCAAGTTTTCATTTTTTGGGTCTTATTTCTTGTTTGTTTCACACACAAAAAATGTGCATCTTCAAAGTGGTAGGCATGTTGTGTAAATCAAATGATACAAACCCCCCCAAAATCCATTTAAATTCCAGGTTGTAAGGCAACAAAATAGGAAAAATGCCAAGGAGGGTGAATACTTTCGCAAGCCACTGTAAGAGCAATCCACTATAAGAGCACTAGGAGGGAGTCTTGTGTGCAAGGGCAATAACATTCATTTAGTTATTTTCTTCTGAAAGCCAAGTGATCAAAGGAAGCCAAAGTACCCCATGAAAATGGACATTGAACATGGGGTTCAAGATCACTTCAGGCACAAGTGTATCAGCTACTGGAGTGGGTGCCATCTGTGCATTCTCAACAGGAGAGCCCTGGACTTTTATATTAGGCTACATCAAACATTGTGACTGGCTCCATCACATGCAATCCAAAACATGGTCAGAAAACTGTCTCAGTGATACATAATAATCTTATTTCTAAAACAATATTATTACACTATGGTGACTAGGTGAGCACCCTTTTCGGAGCGAGATGTAAAGGCAACAGTCACCCTGAAATAAAAATAAGACACTGGGGACATAATATTCACGTAAGGAATGCAGTCTGTCATTGTAGGTTTTTAGCTAATACACTGGAAGCGTATCACGGATGAAACGGGAGCTACTTTATCAAGTGTTTACAATGCGTTAATTGGGATAATAGTGGGGATTCAAACAAATATTTTTAAGGATGGGAGTGGCTTCACATTGACATCAAAGGAAATACTCCACAAGATCTTTGACACAACATGAGGGAAACTGCATTGCAGAAAACCCAGTACGTACTACGATTGAATACTGGCCTTGTAGTATTTTGTCGTTTGTAGCCCAGTAGAAAAGCTTAGCCTACCTTGTTAGACCACTTGTAAGCCTGAAGGAGCTGACTGTACAGCGGAGTCTTGTCCTGAACTGGGTCCAGACTCAGCAGGCCACTGTTGTGAAGGGGATGACTCTCTGAAGGTCTGCCAACCAGGGTACTGAGGCGTTCCAATTCACTACATAAGTACATAGAATAGCAGCTGTTAGAATAGGCTTGTTTTTCACTTTAACACATCCATAAAAAGACAACCGTATATATTCACTACAAAGGAGCCATCACAATACAGAATCTGTATCCATACACATGTATCTTAATCATCTAAGATTTACTAGACTATCCAAAGAAAACATGCACATAGCAAATGCCCAATATTTTCAATTAAGAGTGCTTTTCTGTTCATATTTCACAAAACTGATGTTATTAATACTTTTGCAACAGTTCCTCGTATTTTTAAACCAGTTTTTTGTTTTAGAGGTGCACGGTTCTACAGCATTGCTAAATATGCAAAGTAGTGCACAAAACATAATCTAGATTTTACAGCATTGCTGCATATTACAGCATATTCCTTTGTGGGAGATTAACATGTATCTTAGAGTCCTTCATATCAATAGTACCTAGCTAGCGCAACAAATGTTTCACAAAAACCAGGTTTCCATCCACCCTTTTATGTGAGTAAAGTAAGTCGGATACAAAATGTCATGACAGGCCTGATGGAAACATAATTTTTGTTGGTAAACTTTCCAAATGTCTACAAAAAATAATATGCTAGACAATGTGATATATTTTTGTGTCTGTAAAATGAATTATGCGAGAAATGTTGGTGGAAAGCTTTTATGCGCAAATATTGATATAATAACCATCATATCAAAGTAAACTTGGAGTCACGTGATGACGTGTGGTCCTCCCACTAGACTCGTTGGGAAAGCATGCAGTTTATTAGCATGCAGTTGGTAGAGCATGGCGTTTGCAACGCCAGGGTTGTGGGTTCGATTCCCACGGGGGGTATAAAAAAAATAAAAAATAAAGTAACTATAATGTATGCACTCACTAACTGTAAGTCGCTCTGGATAAGAGCGTCTGCTAAATTACGTAAATGTAAATGTTATTAGGCTACAGACTGAATCAATTATGATGAACTTCACAGTGTGGTGAAAGTGCACGGTGATGAGCTTGATGCTACTTTCCAATAAATATTGAGGGTCTTATTCTGGTGACATGATGATCGATGCTTGCTGCCGTTTGACAAATACAAATAATCCCACTCCTTTGTCCATAATAATCTTATCATGTAGGCTATATGGCGCTGTTGGCTACAGCGCACGTGCCAATAGCAGTGGGCACTCACTATATAATGTAACATTCATCAATAGAGTTGAAAATGCGATGGAAACCCATTTAACTTGTATTTTTTGTAATCAGTAGATGGGAAAGTTTTTTTTTTAACGTACACTACATCATCACGCACAGCCTTTTATTATCTTTGTAATGAAAAGCGCTATATAAATAAATATTATTATTATTAATTGCGCTTGCGCTCACACAAGCTAGGCTAACGTTACATATACACACACCATTTATATTTCAACAAGTAATGTATACTAGCTAACGTTAGCTGGACATAACTTTTTAGTAATACATTCATTCCTCACGGACTATAACTAAATAGCACGCTATCTTGTCTATTTACAGCAAATATTTCGCATATTCCTCTGTTTACAGCTAACGTTAGCTACGGCTAACGAACGTTACTCACTTCAAGTCGCGATTTACAGACTGCAGGTTATCTTGAAACTCGGTAATAAAAACCTTTTCGCGTCCTTCAAGGGTTTCTTTGTTTTTCATCCCATCTTTCAGAGAGTCAAAAACCCTTGTTACACTCGAACGAAGTGCCTGAATAGCATTTATTGCTTGAGAAAATGCTTCTAAATTCACGCCGACGTTCATTGCGTCCGCCATTTTCCCCACACGCTGGAATTGTACGTCGCATAAACAACGTCATTAACTTGGAGTGCATGTAGCAAGGGAATTGTAGTTCTCTCTTCCCGTGCCCACACATGTGCTCTCGTTTGCCAACAGGTATAACATTTCCCCCTTAATCTATTTTTTTTTTTTATCATTGCTAAGTTTGCTGTCTAAAAACATTGTGCATTATGTCACTGTCTGCCTGTGACAATAATTTGGCTTCATATGACCCTGTAGAAATGTGTAGGCTCTACACCCATTGCTTTGTGTGGCCATCAGAACCATGGACAGCTCAACTTAGTGTTCCCTAAGTAAGAAGCTCCCCTAGGCTTGATGCTGTTACTTGAATTACACCCATATCCAAAAGTCGCACATTTAGGGTTAGGCTACTTTTTCGTTTTACTATCCATCTTAATTATACATTAATGCAATTGTCAACAAGGAAAAAGCATTAGCTAGCCTACATATTTTGCTAGACTTTTAGTCTACAGGCCTAGACTGTATAGCATGCATAGGCTATGCTTTTCAAGAGCCATAAAGGAACGTCAAGTTGTTTAACTGTAAACCAGTTTGCGTTAGCCTATTGGTGAGTGAAAACCAGATATCCATATCTGCCTTGAGTGACTCTTATGAGCTGTTCCTTTAAGCAGGACTGGTAGCCTGATCGACTCATGGGATGGTTATATTACTGGGCGGTAGATGAAGTTGCATACCCTCTTCACACACACGTAGTTTGCAGATCAGATTCTGATAGCCAAATATGCAGACGAAAAGAGCGCAGGAGAACAAGGGCAGTGGGGAATTAACGAAATAAGACAGTGTGTTTATGCATGGTGAAAGTGAGGTCGAGAGAGAGAGAGAGAGAGAGAGAGAGAGAGAGAGAGAGAGAGAGAGAGAGAGAGAGAGAGAGAGAGAAATTAAGCTATTTCCTTCTGCCCTTTGAGCGCGTAGGACAAAACTGAAATCGTAAAAAGTAGGGGAACATGAATAGACGCAGTACCACTCCTGAAAAAGTATTGAAATATAATATATTTAGAAGAAGTCGTCTGTTGCGCGTACGGGATGTATTTGGTACCATCCTAACAACGCACTGCTTTCCTCAAAAGTACCAAACAGAAGAGAAACAAACAGAAGGGGAGAGCATCTCATCTAATCCTCTTACTGAAGGGAATACAGTTAAATACAGTAACGTTAAGCTTCTTTTTAACGACGAACCAAGGTGCAACTGCAGGCTTAGGAATGCTGAGAACACTTTTGCAAAGGGATGCACCCATGACAGAATATGAACATGCCTACCTTCTCGGAGCAATTTGGTAAGTGCCGTGCTATTCGAGTTCTTCCGTGAACATGAGGAATCGATGGTGCTTTATTTATTTATCTGTTAAAGACTAATTGCACCGTCAAAAATGTATAATGCTTATAATCTTGGAACCATGCAGTAATGACTAGCCACATATATGTATTTTTACCTTTATACATTTGGAGACAGAAATACACGTCAGAGAGCTTTAGAGGTTTGACATAGGCTGTAGTGTCAAAGTTGAGAACATCTGTCCCCCACCTATGGGAGTCCAAACATTTTCAAAGTATATAGAATTAGTCACAATGCGACATTTCTAGCGTACTTATTTGCAAATTGTAGCCTATGTCTGTCACCATCTGCCTGGGATAAATTGTCGACAGTTCCGTGACCTCTGATGGCAGAGTAAAAGAGTTCAATAGTCATCCGTCTGTGGGGACATTGGATAACTTTTTCAACTTGCATTTGAGTTAGGAAAATGCATACATTAGTGTAGTCTTATGAATATAAATTGGTTGTGAAAACAAAGTGAAGGGCTACAATATTTCAGATTTAGGCTTACACCGACATTTATTATAAAGGGTTTCAAATGCGTTCAAGTTTCTCTAATTAAAGATTGATGTTTAATTGTTAGTTGTCGTAAAAAATAAAATAAAAATAAATAATAAAAGAAGTAGCAGTAGCCTACAGTAGAGTTTTAGTGTGCCCTATTTAGTTGAAAATCTGAATGGCAATTCTCCCCCCCAAAAAGCTGCCCACTGGGCACAGACATCGATTCAACGTCTATTTCACGTGGAAACCACGTTTATCATCCAGTGTGTGTTAAATAAATGATTGTCTTTTCTCCTTCTCGATATAGCCAAAGATGGAGCATGAAAACCCATCCTTTGAATGACATTAAACTCAACAAAATCTCATCAAGAGAGAGCTTCTGAGTGGACAGTGGAATATTCTAAATGGTCTAGGCTACTCATGGACATGTGACTGCTTTTATTGTGACTTACCTGGAGTGCCAAAGGTGTTTGATCTGAGCAAGATTTGCAGGTCATCAATTTCTAGCACAACAGGCACCTTTAAAGTGCCACTGTAACTATAATTTAAAGGAATGCTTTCATTGATGTAATTTCAACGTAGGACAACACATATTTCGAAACTTAAGTAAATGTAACTTATTTGGGCAGGTATAGGCTTACATTTGTATAGACATCCAGCAGAGTTGTTAGGTTGTATCCTGCACGTGGCAGGTGTCCCAACATGAAAACAAAACGGATTCGAAGCTGATCCTCTCTGTGTGTGGACCGACTGTGGCACATCTTGCCTCCCTCCGGACACTCGGTCTTGGACCATGGATGTGGTCTCTACGAGTGCCATGCTCTCACAGGTGTTCTTTTTTCTGCACTTTGTTACTTTGACACTTGGCCAGTATGACATATGCAAGTCGCTGGTTAGTATGGATGATGGACAAACATGGGAGTTTTACGCATGCCAGCCCAAACCCATGGCTATGAAGGAGTTCATGCAAATTACGGTGGATCCCCCTGGCATCACTTGCGGCAATCCCCCGGAGAGGTTCTGTACTCTGGTAAGTTTCAGTTTTATGATTTTTACAATAGGCCTAAACTTTGTTGAAGTGTTGTCTCTATAACAGAAAACTGACATGGAAGTAATTGTTAATTAGGATTTGGGTATGGTATCTGATCCTTTTACCTCAAGCTAATGGCAGGACAATGTTGGCATGACATTGTATCTTTTCTATGAGACAACTCAGGACAGAAGAGTTGAAACCTACTTTTAGTACTTTTTATTATAGTGAAAAATGTAAACAAAAGACTTAAAGACAATTCAAATTTAGTGTGGAATCCCAATCACTGTCTCAATAAATACACCAATATATAATATAATATAATAACTTAATTATATAAAATAAACATACTCTATATTTTATATAAATATTAAATATTATTTGAATTTAATATCACTATATGAAAAATATCTAGCAGCAGCAATATACTTTGAATCATTTTTTTTGCTTTGATCTGCTGTTTTCAGGGTGTAACAGAAAATCAGAAAACACTTTTTATCTTCAAAATCGTCTGGTAATTAAATATTAGTACATTGTACACAATGTTACACAGGTTTATGAATCAATACAGTAATGTATTACCTGACGGATGCATACTAAAACACACTGAGTCTATCTCTGGTTATTTAACTAAGTAAAAATGTGTTTGATTCTCAAACAATATTATTAGATTAGGTTTGTTTTGTGTTTGTGGAACTGTGCCTTCCTACGGGACTCCCGCCTGGAGTGATACTACCCTAATTTATAATAGGGCTGGGAATTGCCAGGGACCTCATGATATGATATTATCACGATACTTAAGTGCTGATATGATATGTATTACGATTCTCACGATTCTATATATTGCAACCTGATACTGTGTTTTGATGTTCCAAACATATTGTTCACTATACTGTCTGTCTGCTGCAGAGAGACGAGAGATAGCATGAGAAAATTAGCTTTGATCAGTCATGGAAATAGAAGTGCTAAAAATATGTTGGCTCACTATTTAAAAATAAGATAGAGAAGAAGCTATAGGATGAAAAATACCAGAGTTTTGGCACAGGTACAGCTGACTAGATATTATTTTTATTTTTAACTAATCGATACTTGGAGTCAAGAATCGTTATCGTCCCAAAATAATATTGCCATATGTAACTGTAGCGATTTCCCCCACCCCCATCACTAATTTATAACAAACATTGTTTAACAGGACACACTACACTATGGGACTATGAGAGCGGCACTATCATGAGCTCATGTGAATGGTATAGGGCTACATGTACATTTATTTGTTGTATTTTGTGTTCTGTAAAGCTATAAGCTTGTATATAGAGTACCAGTCAAAAGTTTGGACACACCTACTCATTCAAGGGTTTTTCTATATTTTTACTATTTTCTACATTGTAGAATAATAGTGAAGACATCAAAACTATGAAATAACACATATGGAATCATGTAGTAACCAAAAAAGTGTTAAACAAATCAAAATATATTTTATATTCTTCAAAGTAGCCACCCTTTGCCTTACTGACAGCTTTGCACACGCTTGACATTCTCTCAACCAGCTTCATGAGGTAGTCACCTGGAATGCATTTCAATTAACAGGTGTGCCTTGTTAAAAGTTCATTTGTGGAATTTCTTTCCTTCTTAATGTGTTTGAGCCAATCAGTTGTGTTGTGACAAGGTAGGGATGGTATACAGAAGATAGCCCTATTTGGTAAAAGACCAAGTCCATATTATGGCAAGAACAGCTCAAATAAGCAAAGAGAAACGACAGTTCATCATTACTTTAAGACATGAACTTTGAACGTTTCTTCAAGTGCAGTCGCAAAAACCATCAAGCGCTATGATGAAACTGGCTCTCATGAGGACCGCCCCAGGAAAGGAAGACCCAGAGTTACGTCTGCTGCAGAGGATAAGTTCATTAGAGTTAACTGCAGCTCAGATTGCAGCCCAAATAAATGCTTCACAGAGTTCAAGTAACAGACACATCTCAACATCAACTGTCCAGAGGAGACTGCGTGAATCAGGCCTTCATGGTCGAATTGTTGCAAAGAAACCACTACTAAAGGACACCAATAATAAGAAGAGACTTGCTTGGGCCAAGAAACACGAGCAATTAGACCGGTGGAAATCTGTCCTTTGGTCTGATAAGTCCAAATGTGAGATTCTTGGTTCCAACCGCCGTGTCTTTGTGAGACACAGAGTAGGTGAACGGATTATCTCCGCATGTGTGGTTCCCACCGTGAAGCGCGGAGGAGGAGGTGTGATGGTGTGGGGGTGCTTTGCTGGTGACACTGTCGGTTATTTATTTAGAATTCAAGGCACACTTAACCAGCATGGCTACCACAGCATTCTGCAACGATATGCCATCCCATCTGGTTTGTGCTTAGTGGGACTATCATTTGTTTTTCAACAGGACAATGACCCAAACACCTCCAGGCTGTGTAAGGGCTATTTGACCAAGAAGGAGAGTGATGGAGTGCTGCATTAGTTGACCTGGCCTCCACAATCCCCCGACCTCAACCCAATTGAGATGGTTTGGGATGAGTTGGACCGCAGAGAGAAGGAAAAGCAGCCAACAAGTGCTCAGCATATGTGGGAACTCCTTCAAGACTGTTGGAAAAGTATTCCAGGTGAAGCTGGTTGAGAGAATGCCAAGAGTGTGCAAAGCTGTCATCAAGGCAAAGGGTGGCAAAGGGTGAATCTCAAATATAAAATATATTTTGATTTGTTTAACACTTTTTTGGTTACTAGATGATTCCATATGTGTTATTTATTCTACAGTGTAGAAAATAGTAAACATAAAGAAAAACCCTTGAAGGAGTAGGTGTGTCCAAACTTTTGGCTGGTACTGTATGTGTAAGCTCAGTTTTTTTGGGAAGGTGCTGACAAGGGTCTAAGAGAGGCTGACAATTTTGCTGTGGGCAGCTAGTTGGCTTGATTGTAGAATAAACAGATGTATAATTTCTCCAGTTGGGCTGTACTACATGGGGACACTGTGAACTGTAGGACTACAACAAAAGGACAAATCATATTTGGAACCCATGAAGAGAGGAGGTCACAGGTCAAATAATGATCACACAGCATAACATGTACACTTTGATACTATGATATCTGCAACTTCTGGTGATCAATTGTTATATAGCCATATACTCACTCACTCTGATTTGAGCATCTGTCTTTGTGTTTAGTGACAAGTCACTAACACTAATACAATATGTAGCATCCACCTGGTTAATGTTCACAGCAGCTTTCTTTGTGCCAGATTGCAAACCCAGGATTGGCTGTGGTAGTGGAGAGGTTTGGATGGATTGTGCCAAATTGAAAGGGGGATAATTAGAGATAGCCATGAAAACATGAGCCAGGTTGCAACATCGAGCCTAACACCCTGTCTCTTAACATGATTGATACAGGATCTTTAGAGGCCACAGGGAGTCCAGACAGACAGTCAGATTTTAAGTGTCATCCAAAGGAAGGCACCTTTTGCAGGGTTGGTAGTATTCTCATCACTGCCCCGCGGGGAAATTGGATCTCCTTACACCCCCCAACAGGCCCTCTAACATCAACTCCAGCAGCAACTTGATTTTGCTAGGCAGTCTCTCTTCCAAGCCCTAACCAGGCCCAACCCTGCTTAGCTTCAAACGGAAGCCAGGGATGCGGCAGGGTGGTGTGGTTGTTGCCATAAGCCTACTACCGGTAGCACCAATCTGATTGTTAATGAACATTGACTAAAGTGAAAGACTTCTTAGCTTCTCTTTAGCCCCAAAGTAGTCATGAACATTTTATGAGACGTAAAGTGGACTGCTGTTGACTGTGCTGTTGAAGAATGAAGACTTAGCGTCAGTGTGCTTCTATGGCAAGAAGCCCGTTGGTAAATGACCGTTCCTCCAGTGGTCTGACCACTGACCATTTAACTTATGGAAAGGTAAACATCCCATACAGCTAGGCTACATTTACACAGGCAGCCCAATTCAGATCTTTTGCCAATTATTTGCATATCTGATAGCTATCTGATCTGTTCCCTAATGTGTAAAGAGCAAAAAAACACATGGAATCAGATCTTTTGACTTCGATTTATACCACTTCCATATGTGGATCTGAATCCTGATGCAAACCCGATCCTCCATATGTGACCTCTGTCTGGACATTCAGATCAGATTTTTTGGCACTGACGTGTTTAAAAAAATATGTGCACATGACCTGCCGTTACACACATGACCTGCCATGACAACCACCCCAAAATGTTAAGGAACAGCGACAGGAAATGAGCATTGCATCTGTGTGCTACTGCAGAGGCTACATCAGTGTGAATGAGAATATGTGTCACTTGTAAAACTGAGTGTGGACAGTCAGAAAAAAATATTGGATATACAAGATTCCAGAAATGTTCCATATGCACAAAAAGCTTATTTCTCTAAAATGTTGTGCACAAATCTGTTTACATCCCTGTAAGTGAGCATTTCTCCTTTGCCAAGATAATCCATCCACCTGACAGGTGTGGCATATCAAGAAGCTGATTGAACACCATGATCATTACACAGGTGCACCTTGTGCTGGGGACAATAAAAGGCCAATCTAAAATGTGCAGTTTTGTCACTCAACACAATGCCACAGATGTCTCAAATTTGAGGGAGCGTGCGATTGGCATGCTGACTGCAGGAATGTCCACCAGAGCTGTTGCCTGAGAATTTAATGTTAATTTCTCTACCATAAGCCGCCTCCAACGTCATTTGAGAGAATTTGGCAGTACGTCCAACCGGCCTCACAACCGCAGACCACGTGTAACCACGCTAAGCCAGGACCTACACATCCGGCTTCTTCACCTGCGGGATCGTCTGAGACGAGCCACCCGGATAGCTGATAAAACTGTGGGTTTGCACAACTGAAGAATTTCTGCACAAACTGTCAGAAACCGTCTCAGGGAAGCTCACCTGCGTGCTCGTCGTCCTCACCTGGGTCTTGACTTGACTGCAGTTCGGCGTCGTAACCGACTTCAGTGGGCAAATGCTCACCTTCGATGGCCATTGGCACGCTTGAGAAGTGTGCTCTTCACAGATGAACTCCGGTTTCAACTGTACTGGGCAGATGGCAGACAGTGTCGTGAGGGCGAGCGGTTTGCTGATGTCAATGTTGTGAACAGACTGCCCCATGGTGGAGTTATGGTATGGGCAGGCACATCTCTGTGGCTCAGAGGCGCCTGCAATTAAAGGGACAGTTAACAAAAAAGTTACATTAAAGGGACAGTTAACTAAAATGTTACGTTAAAGGGACAGTTAACAAAAAATTGTCTGAAACATGAGCCTTTTCTACAGTATCTGTGACCAACAGATTCTTATCTGTATTCCCAGGCATGTGAAATCTATAGATTAGGGCCTAATTAATTCATTTCAATTGACTGATTTAATTATATGAACTGTCACTCAGTAAAATCTTTGAAATTGTTGCATGTTGCGTTTATATTTTAGTTTAGTTTAGAAAGAAAATCAGATCTGGGTTTTCAGGGTGGCTGTGTAAAGCGAAAGGGAAAGGGGGATATCTAGTCAGTTGTACAACTGAATGCATTCAATTGAAATGTGTCTTCCGCATTTAACCCAACTCCTCTGAATCAACACAGCCTATGCAATGCAGATTGTAGCCTACATAAATGACATATTATGTACTTTAGATATTGAGTGCACTCAATTGACAACCTTTCGTAAAGCAACTTCATTGATTAGAATAAGCCATCCCCCTATTGAGTATGTTGGCTTTCCTTGGAAAAGTTTTCCAGCCCATGAATGATTTAGAGCAAATACTGTATCTGTCAATGTAGGCCCACAGGAGATGCCGTTGCATTTTTACTCAGTGCTTTGCTTAGCTCCCCCCCCCCCCCCCCCCCCCCCCCCCCCCCATGCATGATGTTGCTGATGCTGGGAACAGAACAGACTCTGTATGTAGCATTGCTTAATGAGAGGAGGAAAGAGGTAAAGTAATACTGAGAGAGGGAGGGAGGGAGGGAGGGAATTAGAATGGAGGGAATGAGGGAGGGAGGGAGCTAAGCAAAACACCAAAATCCGACCCACTTCTGATGTAATTATACACACATTGAAAGACAAAGAGAGGAGACAGACAGTGTCCATATGTGAAGTGAAGCATCACTGCCACTCTCAATCCTATGAGCTCAAATTATTATTTATCAACATAAATGCCCTAGATTGCAGTTGTACATTTTAGAATGCAAAAACATCCGTAACTAAAAATAGCATTGCAGGTTACAACACAGCAGTGGAGTGCACTATAGAAAGGAATTCAATTTGGTACACTATTTGCAGTGTGTTATGAGAACTGTTCAGATTAGATATGTCAACACAGTGTATTTATCCTACCGGTAGAGAGGTACTGTAATGTCACAAACGTGCAGCTTTGGCCAGTTTTGTCCTAGCAGCTTCAGCCCCCCTCCTGTGCTCCCAAAGGGGAAAGATTTCATCCCATTTGGCTATGACCACATGCAATAATCTCCATCTGCCTGTTTTCATGCCACTGGAGGTCTTGGGGGATTCTCAAATTAAGTTGTTAGTGTGGTAATCATCTACGTCACCTTTCAGGGAATTACAAGATTTTTAGGAAACCAACATGAAAAAAATAAGGTTTTTAATTGATTACATTCCGATTTTGAACAGCCCTTTTACAGTGCTATGAACATTATACAGTGTGTGTGTGTGTGTGTGTGTGTGTGTGTGTGTGTGTGTGTGTGTGTGTGTGTGTGTGTGTGTGTGTGTGTGTGTGTGAGTGCGTAGATTAAAAGACAGTAGGCTGTGGTCCATTCTGGGAAGGGTGAGGCTCTTGCGCGGCTTGTTTTCTCTCTGGTATAATTAGGCTGCTGTTTCCCAGCTGTTATATCAGCAGCCCTCTTGTGGGAGCTTCCTTCACTGTAATTAAGTCAAGCAAGAGAAGAGTGGTGACACATCTCTCCAGGTGGGTAAATAGCAGTGCTAAACACTAGCATCCCATACAGTACATGGCTCTCCATCCACACCAATGTAGTTGGGCATGTTTGTGGACTGTGGTCCTGTCCAAATCTCTGGGCTCTCCTCTCCTCTCCTCTCCTCTTCTCTCCTCTTCTCTTCTCTTCTCTTCTCTTCTATTTCGGTCAGTGCAGTTCCACAGATGTCCCTCGGATTGGACTTAAAGACCATTTCTTAACAATGTCTTAACAATGTCGACTGGCTGACTGTGATTGGACTTAACAATGTCGACTGGCTGACTGTGATTGGACTTAACAATGTCGACTGGCTGACTGTGATTGGGCTTAATAATGTCGACTGGCCTCTGACTGTGTAAACAAACTGATGAGGTAATCTTCAGGGTAGGTCAGAGGTCAGTGATCCTTGGTCACACACAGTCTGAACCTCATCAACGGAGCTGCCGTAGTGCCTTACTAATGCTATTAGACTACAGCTTAAAGGGGGGATCAGTGGAGGGCTTCCACTCTAGCAGAGAGAGAAACCCCTCTGTTATCAGAATAGATAGAACGTTGGATTGTCTCAAAAACACGAGACCCGTTGGTCATTGAAAGGGGATTGAGGTGCACGATCATCTCCAGTTTGTGTGTGTGTGTGTGTGTGAGAGAGAGAGCGGTCCATTCTGGGTTTGTTGACAGAATTCCCCACGGCTGTCACTGAGAAGTGGGCGAACAGTCTGCTTAGCGCTGAGCTTCTCTTTAACTGTGACAGGAATCCTGTGTGGATAATTGCTGGAGCGGTTTAGTGGAGAAAGCTACCTGGTGTAGCAGTTGGACTGGATTTGTGTGCTCTTCAGAGGGAGGCTAGCATTGTGGGCTGAAGGTAGAGGAAGCTGTGCACCTGTTGTGTGTGGTTCTCATAACGCCATGAACATACAGGGGGAAGAATGTAGCACTATCCTGTGTAAGCAGGCAATAATCCTATAAACTGGCATGCATACAACGACGCAAACACACATGCACTTTCATACTCACACACGCATTCAAAAAAGCTGTGGTTGAGGTTTTACAGTACTCTAGCCACATCACTTGAAGCCATCAGACCTAGGTTGAAATACTACACTGAACAAAAATATAAACCAGTCAGTATCTGGTATGACCACCATTTGCCTCATGCAAAGCGACACATCTCCTTCGCATAGAGTTGATCATGCTGTTGATTGTGGCCTGTGAAACGTTGTCCCACTCCTCTTCAATGGCTGTGCAAAGTTGCTGGATATTGGTGGGAACTGGAACACGCTGTCGTACACGTCGATCCAGAGCATCCCAAACATGCTCAATGGGTGAAGTGTCTGGTGAGTATGCAGGCCATTGAAGAACTGGGACATTTTTAGCTTACAGGAATTGTGTACAGATCCTTGCGACATGGGGATTAATCTGTGAAGAGCACACTTCTCCAGCGTGCCAGTGGCCACCAAAGGTGAGCTTTTGCTTACTGAAGTCGGTTACGACGCTGAACTGCAGTCAAGTCAAGACCCAGGTGAGCTTCCCTGAGACGGTTTCTGACAGTTTGCGCAGAAATTCTTTAGTTTGCAAACCCACAGTTTCATCAGCTGTCCGGGTGGCTCATCTCAGACGATCCCGCAGGTGAAGAAGCCGGATGTGGAGGTCCTGGGCTGGTGTGGTTACACGTGGTCTGCGGTTGTGAGGCCGGTTGGACACACTGCCAAATTCTGTAAAATGACGTTGGAGGCGGCATATGGTAGAGAAATGAACATTAAATTATCTGGCAACAGCTCTGGTGCACATTCCTGCAGTCAGCATGCCAATTGCACGCTCCCTCAAATCTTGAGACATCTGTGGCATTGTGTTGTGTGACAAAACTGCACATTTTAGAGTGGCCTTTTATTGTCCCCAGCACAAGGTGCACCTGTGTAATCATCATGATGTTTAATCAGTTTCTTGATATGCCACACCTGTCAGATGGATGGATTATCTTGGCAAAGGATAAATGCTCACTAACAGGGATGTAAACAAATTTGTGCACAAAATTTGAGAGAAATACGTTTTTTGTGCGTATGGAAAATTTCTGGGATCTTTTATTTCAGCTCATGAAACATGGGACCAACACTTTACATGTTGCGTTTATATTTTTGTTCAGTATATTTGAAATCTATCTAATACAAACTTTTTTGAGTTTTTTTGCCTGTGTGAGAGAAACATTTGTATTAGCATTACTTTAAGTTTAATATAAATGAAAGGTGCGTACAATCCTGTTACTCTGGTTGTGTAAGTTGCTGTTTTCACACAACTCTTTACCTAATTCACCACGGCTGTGCACATCTCGTGTTCTTACCCCCACCCTCTGTACTCTGAAACTCTCGTTATCCTCTATTCTAAAAACAAACAGTTCTTAGAACTTGTAGGAGAACACAGAGGACTCCGAATATTTGGCCACCTCATCCATTAGATATCTGTTGGTTAGACACATTGAGACAGTTGTGGTGGAACCAGCCATGACTAAGCATTTATAGGTCTACTATATAAGACCTCTGTTTGTTTCTGTATGTCAGAGCTCTCTGCCCAACACTCAAGAGTGTGGGGTCGACCAGCCTCATTATTGCAGGGCTCTCAACGATATCAAATAAAGATTGATTGTTTGAAGAAATGACAAAGTCTCTCACTTGATTAGAATTTCCACGACACCTGCCTGCCTGGAGTTCGAGGAAGCTGGGGTTTAGGATTTTTTTTGAATGTTCTATTGGTTCAATTGCAACAGGCAAGCTCAATCAAGCACAAATACAGTATTTGAGATGATTTGCACACACTTAATGTATTGTGAAACCTGTTGTAAAATGTATTTTAATGTTTAACATTTTTATTATAATGTATATTACTGCCTTAATTTTTGCTGGCAGCAGCTAATGGGGATCCATAATAAATACAAATACAAATTCAAATAGTATTTGAACCCAGGCCTGGAAGCCGTGTGGGTGAGGATGACTGTTGGTGACAAGAGTGTGACAGTTTGCACTCAGGCAGACCTATGTGACGTATTGACACTGGGATTTAGAGGTCAGGGATGACCATATAGCAGGCAACCCCCCTTGTTAATCCATTCAGTGTGTAATCCATCTGTGTCAGTCGAACAGTGTTACACCTCAACACTGTTGAAGCTATATCTTTTCGGACATTTAGGTATGCAACGCATCTCATTAGTCTTTCTGATGTTTTTTTGAGTGATGATGTCACTGTATTAAATGGAAACACTATGAGTGCCGTTAAAACCAGAGGCAATGATTGCCCTGTATGCAGGAATCCCCAGATGGATATCCACCAAACAGAGCCCACAAAGTGTTTAATGGAGACATATGCTGAGCGTGTTAACATGTTGGGACAAGCACACAAACATGGTCTCTGGGGGAGCTATTAAAAAGGTTGGCCAGATTGTTTTGGAAAATCTGTTGTTTCCAGGTTGTTTCGGTTTATTTGTTGGGGGGAAGTAGCCTGTATAAGATAATACAAATGTTACTTTTATTTTATCTGACTTGTTTCTCATTAGCAAAGGCTTCCAAAGAACCAATAAATACTACAAAAACATCATTTGCGTACTTTGAGCTGGTGGGAACCTTTAGGGAGTAATTCCTACACTCTTTAAAAAAAGGTGCTATCTAGAACCTAAAAGGGTTCTTCGGCTGTCCCCATAGGAAAACCCTTTGAAGAACCCTATTTGGTTACAGGTAGAACAATTTTGGTTCAAGGTAGAACCCTTTTTGGTTCCATGTAGAAGCCTTTCCACAGACGGTTCTACATGGAACCCAAAAGGTTTCTACTTGGGGCCAAAAAGGGTTATCCTATGGGGACAGCTGAAGAATGCTTTTGGAACCCTTTTTTCTCAGTGTATAATTCATAGACTCTATGCTGAATTAACTAAAAACTCACTCAGTATGGATTTAGAATGTTATAAAATGGTGAGATAGTAAATGTGTACTATATTCTAAAGGGGAAGGGAGTAGAACAGTGTTGTCCAACACTGACCAGTTGTCTTTTCCCCCGTCCCTCTTTCAGGAGAACCCGTACCTGTGTAGTGACGAGTGTGACGCCTCCAACCCGGACCTGGCTCACCCTCCCCAGCTGATGCAGGACCGTGAGACCAGCGGCCTCATCACCTACTGGCAGACGGTGACGTGGAGACGCTTCCCGGAGCCCCTGCTGGCCAACATCTCCCTGGCCTGGAACAAGAGCCTGGAGCTGACCGACGACATCCAGGTCACCTTTGAGTATGGCCGCCCCACCATCATGGTGCTGGACAAGTCCCTGGACAAAGGGCGCACCTGGCAGCCCTACCAGTTCTACGCTGACGACTGCATGGACGCCTTCGGCATGCCCGCCAAGCGGGTGCAGGACCTTTCAGCAACAAATGTGACTCGGGTCATCTGTACCGAGCAGTACTCTCGCTGGGTGGGCTCCAAGAACGAGAAGGTGCTGCGCTTTGAGGTGATGGCACGCTTTGCTATCTTCGCAGGGCCCAAGCTGCTCAACATGGACAGCCTGTACACACGCATGGAGAGTATGAAGGGCCTGAGGGACTTCTTCACCTTCACCAACCTGAGACTGAGGCTGCTGAGGCCGGCCCTGGGGGGAACCTACTTCCAGAGAGACAACCTCCTCAAATACTTCTACGCTGTCTCCAACATAGATGTACCAGCCAGGTAAATACACACACCCCTACTTTCTTTGCCTTATTGGACAATATCTCTTGCAAATATATTTGAGTCAGGGTCTTTTTTTGCAGTCAAATTACAAAATGCACAGTCCTAATGTTATACTGTACAGTGTACACTGTATACAATAGTCCAGAAGGAAAGAGTGGCCAAGGTTTTGGTTTCTGATGAGGAGCTGTGCAGGAAATTGTCTGAAACACAAACCGGCTTGATACTGCCAAAGAAACGGTCACTCTTTCTGCTGACAGTCAGATCTATAGCAATCCAATCTTGGTGCTAAATTCAGTAACCTTCGCTAATATAAATATTGATAAAAATGAATGAATTAGCCCCTCCAGGCATCATTGCATTGCCCAAACCTCCGGTAATACAAGCCGTCAATCAATAGTTATTCCTGTACGTAAAAGAGCAAATTGTTTTTAAAGCGGGTTGGGGATGGGGGTAGGAGAAGTTGAGCGGTCAAATGGACACATAGAGATAAGGTAAAGAGCCCATGACTGATGTTCACTGGTTTATAATGATCAGGGAATAGGGAAATGTTAAGCTAATACCCACCGGAAAATCCTTCTTGGATATTTTGTTCATCCCTCAGTATTGAGAAGTGCTTGCAGTGTTTAAATGAAAGGGATTGGACGGCCTCCCTGATGGCCCGTGTGTGTGTGTGCCTCCCTAAATGGACTGCACACAGAGATGGAGGAGGCCCAGGGCTCTGTAATGACATCAGGCCCATCAGCACAGGGACGGAACTGCCTCCTCCTCCTCCTCCTCCTACTCCCCCTTTTCTCTACTCGTCTCCCTCTTCTCCTCCTCCTCCACCTCCTCTTCCCCTTCTCTCCTCCCCGTCCTCCTACTCCACCCCCTCCCCCTCCTCCTCCTCCTCCTCCTCCTCCTCCTCCTCCTCCTCCTCACATTCCCCTTCCTCCTCTCCTCCACCTGCTCCTTCTCCTTCTCCACTCCCTCTTCCTCCTCCTCCTCCTCCTCCTCCTCACATTCCCCTTCCTCCTCTCCTCTCCTGCTCCTTCTCCTTCTCCACCCCCTCTTCCTCCTCCTCCTCCTCTTCTTCCTCCTCCTCCTCTCTCCTCCTTCCCCTTCCTCCCTCTCCTCCCTTCCCCTGCTCCTGCTCCTTCTCCTTCTCCACCCCCCTCTCCTCCCTCCCTCCTCCTCCTTCCTCCTCACATCCCCTCCCTCCTCCCCCTGCCTGCCTGCTCCTTCTCCTTCTCCCCCCCTCTTCCTCCTCCTTCCTCCTCTCCTCCTCCTCTCCTTCCCTTCCTCCTCTCCTCCCCCTGCCCTCTCCTTCTCCTTCTCCACCCCTCTTCCTCCTCCTCCTCCTCCTCCCCTTCTCCTCTCCCTTCCTCCCTTCTCCTCCGCCCCCCTCTTCTCCTCTCTCCCCTCCTCCCTTCCTCCTCTCTCCTCCTCTCCTTCCCACCCTCTCCCTCCCTCCTCCTCCTCCTCCCCCTCCCCTCTCCCCTCCCTCCCTCCTTCCTCCTTCCTCTCCTCCAAGTGCTAGTTTGAAGCGGCCTCAAGGAGGAAGGACCGTAGCTTGCCTGTCCCTTCCCTGGCACAAATTATTTTGAGAAACAGCAGACTAGAGAAAACCAGATGCATCTGTTCTCCCATTCTGTCTGTGAACCTGTTAAAAGAAGGATAGAACAAGAAGAAAATAAGGAGACCATTCTCGGACCTTCACTCTGGTCACTCAGCGTGCGTGGGATCATTATTTCCCACAGCCTGAAGTGAATCTGTCTGCTTAGAAAACGACTAAACCGCACACACACAAGCCTGATATGGCAACATCTAAATAATCACCAGCTGGTGTGGATGAAGTTGAGTTGGCCGGGTAGTCTACAAATAGAATATTACAAAATCATTATGGTGGGAAGCCTATTTGTGTCCAGAAGGCATTTGAAAACCCTTGGTTTGTATTATATAAACACTGTCTAAATTAATCATATTTTGACAATCAGGAAAAAATTAAATAAGGGGTGAAAATAGGGAAGCTGTGATGAGTGTGATGAAAGGAGTCAGGCGCAGGAGGGTAATCACCAAATACAGAGTTTATTCCTTCGTTGACACACATATGCGCTCAAATAGCGATCAACGAAACAGGCACAGGGGAAACTCTCATCCCCGGCAAATACACTGTAATGGTAGAATCCAATAATACATAGGCACAGGGGAAAATCTACCCTGGCAACAAAATGTACGAGTAGCTCCACCGAGCTATACTACTCTCACAACTAACAATCACCCACAAGGACAAGGGGTAGAGGGAACACTTATACACAGACTAATGAGGGGATTAGAACCAGGTGTGTGTGATTGACAAGACAAGACAAATGTGATGATGATTGGGGCGGCAGTGGTTAGTAAGCCGGTGACGACGAACGCCGAAGCCTGCCCGAACAAGGAGGGGAGGCAGCCTCGGCCGAAGTCGTGACAGTACCTCCCCCCCCTTGACGTGCAGCTCCAGCAGCGCACCAACCCCGGCTTCGGGACGGCCAGGAGGACGCGGAGCAGGGCGAGCCGGATGGTGACGGTGGAAATCCCTCAGGGAGGGATCGAGGATATCCCTCACCGGGACCCAGCACCGTTCCACCGGACCGTACCCCTCCCACTCCACAAGGTACTGAAGGCCCCCCACCCGACACCTCGAATCCAGGATGGAGCGGACAGAGTTCTGCTCCGCCGGGCTGAGCTTCTTAGAGAAGAAGGCACAGGGGCGGAGCTTGGGTGGCGTGCCCGAGCATTGGGACAGGACAGTGCCTATCCCTAGCTCGGACGCATCCACCTCCACCACGAACGGTAGTGATGGATCGGGGTGGGCCAGTACCGGAGCTGAGGTGAACAGACCCTGCAGTCTCCTGAAGGCCAGGTCAGCCTCAGCAGACCAGCGGAGCCGGGACGGCCCACCCTTCAACAGGGATGTAATGGGAGCTGTGACCTTGCCAAAGCCCCGGATAAACCTCCGATAGTAGTTGGCAAAGCCAAGGAAGCACTGCACCTCCTTAACCGTGGTTGGAGTCGGCCAATTACTCACGGCTGAAATGCGATCTCCCTCCATCTCCACACCTGAGGTGGTAATGTGGTATCCGAGGAAGGAGACAGACTGCTGGAAAAACATACACTTCTCTGCCTTGGCATAAAGGTCATTTTCCAACAGTCGGGCCAGCACTTTGTGAACCAGGGACACATGCTTGGCACGAGTAGCGGAATACACCAGGATGTCATCGATGCAGACCACTACACCGCGACCAAGCATGTCCCGAAACACCTCGTTCACAAAGGACTGGAAGACGGATGGAGCATTCATCAAACTGTAGGGCATCACCAGGTATTCATAATGCCCCGTGGTTGTGCTGAATGCTGTCGTCCACTCATCCACCTCCCGAACACGCACCAGGTTGTGTGCACTCTTGAGATCTAGCTTAGTGAAGAAGCGCGCCCCATGCATTGACTCAATCACTGAAGTAATGAGGGGGAGAGGATAACTAAATCTAATCTTCTCCTTGTTCAGTGATCGATAATCAATGCACGGGCGCAGACCGCCGTCTTTCTTCTTCACAAAGAAGAAACTCGAGGAGGCGGGTGAAGTGGAGGGATGTATATACCCCTGGCCCAGGGACTCGGAGACGTATGTTTCCATAGCCTCCGTTTCAGCCTGCGACAGGGGGTACACATGACTCCTGGGAGGTACAGCGTCTACCCGAAGGTTTATTGCGCAATCCCCCGCCCGATGAGGTGGTAATTTAGTCGCACGCGTCTTAGAAAACACGTGCGCCAAATCGAGGTATTCGGGGGGAATGCGCACGGTGGAGGTACCGTCTGGACTTTCCACCGTGGTTGCACCAACGGAAACATTTAGACACCTACCTTGACACTCTCGCGACCACCCCGTGAGAGCCCTGTGCGGCCATGAGAAGGTGGGGTTGTGGAGTGCTAGCCAATGGCTACCTAATACCACAGGGAAAGCAGGAGACTCAATAATCGAAAAAATAACCTGCTCACAACGTGTCTCCTGGGTGATCATGGTGACTGGTATAGTGACTTCCGTAACAAACCCGGACCCTAATGGTCGACAATCGAGTGCTCTGATGGGGAGTGGAATGGATAGGGGAACCAATGAAATGCCTTGACGGCGTGCGAATGCCCTGTCCATAAAGTTCCCAGCTGCGCCTGAATCGACTAGCGCCTTACACTGGGGGAACTACCATGTGATCGGGAAAGTGGATACGTAGGGTACAGTGCGCAGCAGAGGGCTCTGAACAAGTGTAGGTGTTCGATACCTGGGGTGATGCGTGAGTGCCCTGCCTGCCGCCTCCAGGCCCAAAAGAACGTTGACTACGACGTGTGGTGTACTGTCCCTTCGTGCCACCAGAGTGGCACTGTCGCTGTCCTCCTCCGCTCTCTCGGCCGGCGGCTCCACCCAGCTCCATCGGCTCGGGATCCGAGTCGTCCGGGGTGGAAACGGGCAGACCCCTACCAGGACGTCTTCTGGCTGCCAGCAGGTTGTCCAAACGAATGGCCATGTCCACCAGTTTATTGAAGGTCAACATGGTGTCCCGGCAGGCTAGCTCCCGTCGGACGTCCTCCCACAGATGGCACCAGAAATGGTAGATCAGGGCCTGCTTGTTCCACCCGGACCCCACTGCCAGCTTCTGAAACTCCAAAGCGAAGTCCTGCGCGGTCCTCGTCCCCTGCCTCAGGTGGACCAGCCGCTCGCCCGCCTCTCGAACCTCAGGCGGGTGATCGAAGACCGCCCGAAAGAGGCGAACGAACTCCCCGTAGTCCTCCAACACGGCTCCTCCTTCGTTCCACACCGCGTTGGCCCACTCCAGGGCTTTCCCACAGAGGCAGGAAACGAGGACGGACACCTTCTCCCGCTTCGATGGCGCCGGCCTGATGCCGGAGAAGTACAGCTCCATTTGGAGGAGGAATCCCTGGCACAGCGCCGCTGTCCCATCAAACGCCCGTGGTCGGGATATCTGGATCCCT